AATCTGTTCTGCATACAGATTGAAAAGGTATGGAGATAGGATGTTTATAGCTTTAGAAACCTAATATAGAGGGTCATTGACATGTATGAGCTGGCAGTAGGTAGAATTTCCAAAAGGAAAAGTTTTCAAGAGTTCAAGAGAAAACCGAGAGAATGCTGTCATGGGTCTCAAAGGGGGGTAACATTAAAAAGGAGTGGATAAAGATGTTGGGATTTGTAAGAAGAATGAGGGAAGAGTGGGGACAGCCTTTTCTGACCTTTACAATCCACAAGGGGAACTGTCCCAACCAATAGCATCCACAAGAAAACCAATTAGCAAGAGATCTATACTTAGTATTTTGTGTCTAATAGTTATATTTATGTCACAGCATGCACAGTTCAAAACTAATCATACCTTCTTTTCCACAGTTCATTTTATTCTGCATGCACTTTTTATTTTATGTATTGCCCCAAATCATCAGACTAGCTACCAAATCCAAATCCATGATCATTGTAAGGTTACATTTAATACACAATCTGACCATATGAATTCTTAAGTGAATTTCCATGTCTTATGTCATAGAAACTAAACTCAATAAAATGATAAATTATCTTATACTACATTTCCCAAGATTCAATTTTGACTCTCAAACCTTGACTACTACAGTGAGGGAAAAGGTATTAAGAAGATAAAATCGTTCTTGTGGAGGTGATGTTGTTGTTGTTAAGTACCATTGAGTCGCAGGTGACTCATAGTGACCCTATGAAGGAGAGTCCCCGACGTTTGGGTGCCTTTCATCCTCTCTTCAGGTTCATAGGGTTTCCGGAGGCAAGCTATTATGGAAGTGGATGCCACTCCTCCTTCCAAGCTTGTTTTGATCGGGGAGCTCCACCCCACTCTCTGTCCACATTGGGTAGCCAACCATTAACGCATTTGACATGTCAGTGTTACAGTGCTCAGCGGTAGAGGTGATAAATAAGAATTTTAATTGCTAATAGAATCAAGAAGATTTACAGATTTCTGAGCAAAGAAAACTAAAAGTAGGAGAAGGGACTGAAAGCTACCTTCAGGGACCAATGAGATTGGCTAGAAATAACATTTAGTGTAAATTTGTCTATAAGATAATACATCAAACAGGGGATGAAACGTGTGTGCAAAATTCTTGTGAGGTGATTTTATTTTCATTATACTGATTTCATTAACAACATCCAGAATTATCCATTTAAAAGAGAGTCAGTATTTATGCTAATTACAAATCAAAAAATACCACCATATCATTGTTGTTGTTGATTGCCATCAAGTCAAGCACAACTCATAGCAACCCTATGAAAAAAAAAGACCTGAAGTCTATCTAAAGCTATCAACAGTTATCAAAGTTTATAGCATTTCCAGAGGCATGTTGCTTAGGAAATGGATGCCATTCCTGCATTCAGAGTACAAATTAGAAAGGTTTGTTATTTTTATCATATTTTACATGCTATATAAGAACAAGCATTCCATTTTTTAATTACCTGTTATTGATATGATTTACTATCATTTCGATATCCATTTCAAGTTTTTCATTTTCTGCCACTATTTTCTTATACAGTTCTGAAAGCTTGATATAGTCTTGTTTAATAGTAGAAAGATCAATATCCCATGCAGATTTCTTGAAAGAAAAAGGAAAGTATCATTTATACTTGTTTACTTGTCTCTTTTTTGTTGTCTTCCAAAAAGGAATTAAAAATAATAAGAATTTTTACTAGAATGAGTAGATATTTGAGGGGAAGGAATAGGCTCATGGAGAAGTTAGAAGAGGATAACTTACTGTGGTATAAAATTCACTGTGTATGTCTGTATAAGTCTTTTGAAAACCTTTTATCTTCCAGGTAAGTTGATCATAATGTTTTTTTAAGTCTTCTAACTAAGAAAATAAATTACACATAAAATAAGTGAATCATATTGTTCTTTTTCTATAAAAGGAGAAAGACATACTATTTTTTTCTTTATGTCATTATAATAACTTAAGAATCAGTGGCTAATTTTAGCTATATCTAATGCAATGTCTAAAATTATTTTATTCAAAGGGACAATGCTAAAACCACCAATTTCTAAATTTAATAAGTGAGCTAAAGAGCTTAACTCTACAAGATTAATGACATGGTGTACAACAAATTCAGTTAATGGAAATATTGTGATTAAAAATTCATTTTAAAAAGGCAAAGTTAAAGATTTTTGGGAAAATGTGAGACAACATTTTTTATTTTATTTTACTAATTTTAATGAACGTTTACAGAGACTTTGGATTTCCATTCATTCATTGTTGCACATTTTCCTCCCTGCCCCCCCCCACCAAGGTTTGCTCTGCTCTTTGAGAAGTAAAAGAAAAATTCCTTCATTGGTATACAATCTGCCCCATCCCACCCCAGTACACTACACTATACAGCCTTTATTCTGGACTCTTGTCATAACCATAATATTCAATCATGTATCACTTTCAAACTGTTCTCTCCCTCATCTGTTTCAATGCAGTATACATAATTTATCCAATTTTTCTCAGTCTTACCTCAACCCTGATGTCAGCCCTGTTTTACAAATGGCACTGTGCAATATTTGTCCTTTTGTGACTGAGATATTTCACTCAGCATAATGTCCTCCAGGGTCACCCATTTTGAATAATCTTGCATGAGGTCTTTGTTTTTCAATGCAGCATAGTATTGCATTGTGTGAATATATCAGAGCTTCTCTATCCATTTGCTTGTTGATGAGCACCTAGATCGTTTCCACCTCTTTGCTATTGTGAACATAGCTGCAGTAAGCATGGGTGTCCATATATCTGCCTGGGTGGCAGTTTTGTTTCTCTAGGGTATATTTCTAGTAGAGGAATTGCTGAGTCAAATGGTATTTCTATTTGCAACTTTTTGAGAAAGTGCCATACAGCCTTCCATATTTTTGCAAGACGACTACTACTTAAACTTCTTGTAGCTATTCTTGTAATTTGCCATCAAGTAGAGTGTAACCCTATGAAAAACACATCTTAACGCTGTAGTATTCTGTACCATCCTCATCCGTGAGTCCATTGCTGCTGTCACTACATGAATCCATCTAATTAAGAGTTTTCCTCCCTTTCACTGACCCTCCATATTTCCAAGCATTATGTCCTTTTCCAAGGAAGAGCCCCTCCTAGAAACAAGCCTAAAATATGTGAGACAAAGTTTCACCATCCTTGCCTACAAGGAGCACTTTGACTCCGAAGATATATCTGTACTTTTGGCAATTCATGGAATATTCAGTACTTTTCTTCAACATCACAACCCAAATGTATTTATTCTTCTTCTGTATTTTTATTCATTGTCCACCTCTCAGCTGCATGACAAGTGATTGAAAAGACCATGGCCTGGATTAGGCACGTCTTAGTCTTCATACTGACATCAGCGCACCTTGGCAATTTGAAGAGGTCCCTAACAGTGGACTTGCCCAATGCTATACAGTTTTTGATTTCTTGACTGATTTCTTAGTGATTGTGGATCCAAGTTAAAACTGTTGACAATTTCAGTCTTTTTCCAGCTGTCATTATGTTGCTTTATCAGTCCTGTCAGGAGGATTTTTATCTTTTTGATGTTGAGATGTAATTTTGTAGGAGGCCATAATTTCACTTTAATCATTTTTATATCAAAATATTATATGCTTAGAATGGCTCATTACATTAATATTCATTTTTAGGAATATTTACACTGTTTACTATACTTAAACACGGAAACTACCTTAAATGTCCAATTTCAAGGACCTGAAAAAACTCTCAAAGAGCCTTGGTGCCCCAATAATTAACTTTTTAACCTCAGACTGTAAATTTTAGTGGTCTGAACCAAGCAGTTACTCTGTGAAAGTTGTGGCTGGGTGCTTATATAAAGATGGTAGCTTTGGAAACCATATGGGGAGTTCTAGTTTGTTCTACAAGGTCACCATGAGTCTAAATCTCCATTTCAAGGCTTAATAAACTGTTACAGGTTTCCAAGTGATACATACCATGCTTAATTACAACCCAAAAGGTTGGTGGTTCTACTCCATCCAGTAGTGCCACCGTAGAACATCCTGTAGACTTGCTTTTTGTAGATTATGGTCAAGAAAATACCATGAAACTCAATCCTACCCTGTAACACCGAGTTCTCTATGAATTGAATTTGACTCAATGGCAACAGCTTAGAAAGGTCGTAAATAATTAAAATTTCAACTAAAAAGAATATTGAATTAATTTTATTCTCATTTCTTTCAAGTTACAATTTATAGATGACCTTACAGTAGGTTTTCAGAGGTTATAAATGGCATAGGGATAACTTTTCCATTTTTCACCCTGGAAGTCCCTGTATATCTCTAGGTTTGCAGTGCAACTCCTTACCCATTAGGCCACTGGAACTCCATATATTTTCTCCAATGGCCTTGTGGTAAGTAATGATGCTGCCATCCTGAGGTATATAGTTCAAATCTAACAGCTGCTCTACAGAAGAAAGATGGACTGTCCACTCCTATGCAGTTTAAAATCTACTGGAGGGTCAATTAGTTATGAGTTGAGGGGCAGCTTGAGAACATACAATAACAACAGAGAAAAACTAATACTGATTACAGTATTCATCCCACACTATAACCTCTTTATATTAACAGTCTTTAGTTTTTTAAAAAAATCAAAATAACAATTTGGTGTCCAGTTGTTTTTTTATTTACAGTTTTCCATGTTGTAAATGTTTATGGGCTAAGACTGTCCCTTCCCACTTCCTCCTAAAAGCTGACTGTGACCTTTAAGAGACCAATGTTTTGGATAGCAGCCCTACACAGAGTACACTATGCACCAAGGCTAAATATGGTTGGTGAGATCTATATTTTGTGTTATTGAGACTACATTTAGTTTAAATTTTGATAAATGAATATTATATATGTTTGCCATTCAAAAAAGTGCTTAAATTCTGTCAGTTCATATGTCTGTGAAGAGACAGGTTTAAAGAGGGTTCTAAGGAAGCAAATAAAACTCCATTAATGACAATGAAGGAGATTGCCCGTCTTTCTCTCATGGAACAGCTGGTGAATTCAAATAGCATACCTTCGGGTTGGCAGTACAATTCCTTACCACTAAGCCACCAAAGCTCCATAATTCAATTGTTGTCATTAGGTGCCATTAAGTTGAGATGACTCATATCAACCTCACAACAGACCTGAAAACTTTGAGATGCAAAACAACAATGAGATATCATCTCACCCTAGCAATAATAGCAAAGGAGAGCAAACAACAAATGCTGATCAGAATGTAGAGAGATTACCACTCTCATGCACTGTTGGTGAGAAGGTAAAATGGTCCACCCACTATGCAAAGCTGTCTAGCACTTTCTCAAAAAGTTAGGAATATAAATATCATTTGAACCACTTATCCCACTAATAGAAAGATAACCTAAAGAAATTAGAACTACGATGTAAATGGATGCATGCACACCCATGTTTATTCAGCATTATTCACATCAGCGAAGAGATGGAAGCAGCCCAAGGGCCCATTAACAAATAAATGGACAGAGAAACTGGTAGATTCACACCGTGGAACATTGTGTAGTATTGAAAAACAACTCATAATACACTACGCTACATGGATGAGTCTGGAAGACATTATGCTTAGTAAAATAACTATCAAGAAAGGTAAAATAATGCATCATTTTTATAATTATTATAAAAATAGGATGACTACATGGGAGAGGGGGAAAGTAAGAAAAGAATACAGAGATAGATAATAAACATTATACTGGAAGATGTGAAGAGAAGGAAAATCTGGAAAGGACAATTTATTATTATTATTATTATTATTATTATTATTGTTGTTGTTGTTATTGTTGGTATTACTATTACATACTGTCAACTCATAGCAACCCTATGAACAATAGATCTGAACCCTATCTTGTGCAAACTTCACAATCTCTGACACATTTGAGCACATTGTGGAAGTCACTCTGTCAATCCACCTGGTTGAGAGTCTTTCTCTCCTTTGCTGTCTCTCCTCCTTTTCAAATATGAAGTCCTTCTCCAAGGATTAGGCTCCTGTACAACATGCCCAAAGTATTAGATACAAAGTTATACTATATACATAAATATGAATGTTGTTGTTGTTGTTGTTATGTGCCGTCGAGTCGCCTGCGATTCATAGCGACCCTATGTACAACTCCGCTCTGTCCTGTGCCAATCGCACTGTCTCTGACATTCCCATCCCAATTATCCCAGTCACTGAATCAATCCACCTCATAGAGGGCCTTCCTCTCCTGCGCCGTCCCTCCACCCTCCCAAGCATGATGTCCCTCTCTAAGGACCGGTTTCTCCTCACAACATGTCCAAAGTAAGTTAGACGGAGCCTCAGAATCCTTGCTTCCAAGGAGCCACCCGGTTTAACCCTCTACAGGACAAATCTGTTTGTTTTCCTAGCAGTCCATGGTATTCTCAATACTCTTCTCCAGCACCACAGCTCAAAGGCATCAATTCTCCTTCTATCCTCCTTGGTCATTGTCCAACTCTCTGATGCATAACAGGTGATTGCGAAGACCATGGCCTGTATCAGACGCACCTTAGTCTCCAGAGAGACACCACTGCTATTCAGCACTTTGGAGAGGTCCCTGACAGCAGACTTTCCCATGGCAATGCGCCTTTTAATTTCCTGGCTGCTGGTGCCAAGACTGTTGACTATGGAGCCAAGCAAACTAAAGCTGTGTACAATCTCAATCTCTTCACCATCCATCCTGATGCTGCCAATTGCTCCAGTGGTGAGAATCTTTGTCTTCTTGACATTGAGCCTCAATCCATATTGTAGGCTGCAGTCCTTGACACTCTGCAGCAGGCGCTTCAGGTCCTCCTCAGTTTCAGCAAGCAGGGTTGTGTCATCCGCATAATGCAGATTGTTGA